TGTGTGTGTGTGTGTGTGTGTGTGTGTGTGAGATACAAACCTCTATCCAGTCACCCCTCAGCCTCTGACACTCCAGGGAAAATAGTCCCCACTTATTCAGCCTCTCCCCATAGCTCAAACCCTCCAACACTGACAACATCCCTATAATTCTTTTCTGAGGTATTCTTCTTCGCTGTCCACTACACTCTAATTTTGGTGTCATGTGCAAACTTATTAACCATACCTTCTATGTTCACATCCAAATTATTTATATAAATGATGAAAAGTAGTGGACCCAGCAGCAATCCCTGTGGCACACCACTGGTCACAGGCCTCCAGTCTGAAAAGCAATGCTCCACCACCACCCTGTGTATCCAGATGGCTAGTTCTCCCTGTATTCCGTGTGATCTGACCTTGCTAACTAGTCTACCATCAGGAACCTTGTCAAATACCTTACTGAAGTCCATACAGATCACATCCACTGCTCTGCCTTCATCAATCTTCTTCGTCACTTCTTCAAAAAAAACTCAATCAAGTTAGTCAGACATGCTTTTCCACGCTCAAAGCAATGTTGACTATCCCGAATCAGTCCTTACCTTTTCAGGTACATGTAAATCCTGTCCCTCGGGATCCCTTCCAACAACTTGCCCACCACTGATGTCAGGCTTACCGGTCTATAGTTCCCTCGCTTTTCCTTACCACCTTTGTTAAGTCGTGGTACCACATTAGCTTCTTTGATTCTGAGCTTCACTCTAAGGACTTAATATATGTGAATTCCTACAATGTTTAAGTGCTTGAGGCATAGGCCCAGAGGAGACACTAACCACTGACAGGATGACAGGTGTTCAGAGAGTATCGATTAAGAGGTAATGAGCAGAAGTAGCAAAGATCTGATGTGGAAATAGTGTTTTTCTCAGTGAATTGTTATTCAGATTGCAGTTCCTGAAAAATTGGTGGAAGCTGATTCTACTGTAACAACATATTTTAAACAAAACATTTGCAGGCTAATGGGGAAACACTTGGGCAGTAGGATTAATTGAAGAGCAAGAGCGTAGATGTAATATGCAAAACAGTCTTCTTCCATCCTATACAAAACTATAATGTACCATATCAGCAATTTCTTGGGGGTTTTAATAATTCAATTTCACAATCAGGTTTCTTGTATTCTTTCAAAGAAAAGTAATTCTGGATTCAAAATAATTCTGTATCCACAAATGCTGCCAGACCTGCTGAGATTTTCTAGCACTTTCTGTCTTGATTTTGATCTATAACATGGGCTGTGTTTTGCTTTTAGTCTTGTATTCTTTATATATTCAAAGAGCACATTTTAGTTCCAATTATGTTCTGTTGAGACGGCTCACATTAACAAAAGTAGTATTTGCCACAAGTAAGCTACATGATTTCAGACCAGACAATCCACAATGTCTTCATGTTCATGACATTGCTTTGTAAATTGTGCACAGAATATGATGCCAGTGCATTTGTTCCCTGTATAAGACAACAAGTGGTAAAAGGAATGTGGTAGATTTTCAATCTTGACAATCAATGGGACTAATCTAATGAAGTGACCATTTATAAACAAGCCCAGTGAATTAAAAAAAGTATGATTAATGTTTCCCGCCATGGTGCCCTATCTGTGTTAAAAAACGTACTTAATCAATGGTGCCTCCATTGACTGTAAGAGTGCAATTATTGTAGGAATCCGTAGAAAAGGAAAGTTATTCTTAGAATTGACAAGGTTCAGAGTTATGAAAAGTTTATGCCAACAAACCCAGAAAGGAATTGTCCCACAGTTTTTACAGGATAAGGAAAGAAAGCTGGGAGGAGTCGGTTAAGGAGGAAACTAAAGTGTTGAAATAGGAGTGAAATTTTTCTAGAATTGAGTATCTATAAAAGAGGATAGTTTGGGGGGAGAGATTGAAACATTTTCTTTCCTGTTTGTGTTCAGATTCTTCCAACTACCTTACACAGCTTTGATTTTTATATACTGTTGCTTAAAAACAGGTGGGGACTCCTGTGATAATATTTCAGTGACGAACCAACTGCAAAATTAAACAAATGATCTATCAAGCCAGATTTCCTTCTAGGATCACACTTGTTCAGTATTACCATCAGCAGAGACAGGAACAGTAAAGTGCTACTTTCGCAGGACATGCCACAAAGACTGGCTTCACTGCAGCATCAGTCCAGGAGTACTCTCATGTTTGAAATAACTGAAGTGAACTACTGCAATCTCAGAAATCATTCGTGTGGTAGCTGACCTGTTTGATGGTAAAATGTAATAAGATCAGGAATAAATGGGTCTGTGGGAACAGCCCTGACAGTAACCAGTCAAAACAAAATTGGATAAGTACTGGGAAAGAAGAAACGTCCAGATTTATGTGGAAAGAGCAGGACTGTGGGAATCATCAAGCAGCTCTTTCAAAAAAAAAACTTGAATGTTTTTGAGAAACTTCAAGTTCAATGTATTGAAGAGTCTCCTTCTGTCCTGTCTGATTGAATAATAAAACACAACGGGAGCTTCCTGTGGATCTCAATGGCTCAATTTCAATAACAGGCAAAATTTCTAAACATCACATTTTAATTACCTGGCATGGTCTGTGAAGCTGATGTCCTATTTGTAGCAATGGTCATCCCTGTAAGAGAAGAATATGATTTCTGATGAGACAATAAACAGCTTCATTATGTTTTGAATTGTAAACAGTTTAGGGCACAGGCAAATTACTTTCACAAACAAGTTCCAAAAGATTATCCTGTAAAAATTTCAATTTCATGAGTGTAATACAGGTGTTCCCTCCAATTTCTTCAAACAGGTTTATCTGTGCTCTTTGGGAGCTATGTTAATTTCCAATCAAGCTAATTTTTTTTGTGATCAAGTATCCATTTTGAACTGTAGTCAGCCAAAACAGGAAGAAATTTGTAATATTAATTCTAAAAGTAATTAATCTTACCAATTAAATTGTGTCATTGACAATGTTCAGGCTACCTAGAAACATCCATACATTGAGAAACTGTGAACTCATTTTGCTGGACCCTTCTTTCTCTGGCTGGCGTCAGAACAAGCCAGTCATGAGCAAGTGACAACTTGCTTCCATGTTATTAAGTATTCTGCTCATTTTCTGATGCTGTAGCACCAGAGATAAGGTGGTGTGACAAGACAATATGTCCTGACTATTACTCTCACCATTCACCATTGTGAACCTTAAAAGGAGATGAGGAAATGGAAGTAGAGACAAGTGAAGCATTGTCAAACTTGACAATGAATGCAAATGCATTCATATCGTCGTTAAGGACGAATGACACTTTGTCCATTAACATATAGCTGTCATTTTTAAACTGGAAATTGTGGAACGGTTCTGAGATGGGTTGTAGATCAGGTGATAGCATCAGCAAAACAATTCAGTGTAAATAGACTCCCAGTCAATAGATTTGATTTGATTTTACATTAATGTGTAACATACGAGTGTCAGTGACTAAGTCAGCATTTATTACCCATTCATAATTACCCTTGAGAGGATGTGGTGAGCTGGTTTCTTGAACCGCTGCAGTCCATGTGAGGTAAGTGCAGGAAACTGTAACCTCTGACAGGATGCAGGGTAATTAGAGTGGATAGATTTAATGTAACTAACATTCTGTGGAATGGTATTATTGCTAAACTGTTAATCTGGAGACACTGGTAATGTTCTGGGGACCCAAGTTCCAATCCTGCCATGGCAGATGGAGGAATTGGAATTCAATAAATATATGGAATTAGGAGTCTAATGATAACCATGAATTCATTGGCAATTGTTGATTCACTAATGTCTTTTAGGGAAAGAAATCTGCCATCCTTACCCTGCCTGGCCTACGTGAGACTTCAGACCCACAGGCATCTGGGCAATTTGGGATGGGGAGTAAATGTTGGCCTGGCCAGTGATATCCATATCCCACGAATGAATTTTAAAAAAAAACGCAGTATAGAGAAATTAAGAAGCCATTATTCAGCAAATTGTTATCTTTTAGATTGCAGTGATTGAAAATTTGGTGAAAGCTCATTCTATTCTAATTATGTCCTTGAAAAAGAGAAATTTGCAGGCCTTTCGGGACAGAGCTGGGCAGTGGGATTTGCTGAATAGCAAGAGCCAGCAAAGGCATCTCACAGTAAAATATAAAACACAAGAACTGCGGCTGTTGGAGATCTGATACAGAAACAGAAATTGCTGGCGAAACAGTTAATGTTTCGAGTCCGGTGGCTCTTCATCAGTCACCAGACTCAAAATGTTAACTCTGCTTTCCTCCCACAGGTTCTGCCAGATCTGCTGAGTTTCTCCAACAATTCCTATTTTTATTTCAGTGTAACATATAACCAGTTAGGACAGGGATGAGGAGGAATTTTGTCTCTCAGAAGGTACTAAATCTGTGGAATTGATTACCCCAGAGATCATGTAGTATATTCAAGGCACAGAGATATTTTTAATCAGTAGGGGATCAAGGGTTAGGGGTAAAAGATGAAATTGAGAATTATTTGGTCAGCCATGATCTCACTGAATTCTGTAGGCCAAATGGCCTCTTGTTGCTCCTGTAGCTTCTGCATGTATGGTCTAAGCCTCCCTCCGTCCTGTATGATTCTCTGATCAATCACATCAGCAATTTCCTGCGGTTGTCAATTATTCAGTTTCAGTATCAGGTTTTTTATATCCTTACTATTTTTAAACAGCAAATTTTCAGTACCTGTTGTGTTCTGTGTAGTGGATGTCTTATTCACAGTAATGATGTACACTGTAAGGAAAATGGGCATCAGATCAGATTAACTTCGGCACAGTCAATCAATCAGCAGCCTCACTATGTCTGTAACATTTCTTTGCAAATTCTGCAAAGTGTATTGCACTGGTGAGCCTGCTTAAGCGTATGATTACAAAGTATTGCATTTTCTCATGAGATAAATAGATCCAGTCCATTACTTCCAAGCCCATGTTTGAAATGGAATCAACTTGAAGAGAAATAATCTCAGAAAGGTCCATTTTGATTCTAAGAGTTACTGATCTTCCCATTAAAACTATGTTCAGATAACATTCAGAGAAACGATTATTCACCCTGAGTATCGGCTGCATTTCTGCCAACATAACACTCACTTTGATGCTCAGCTTCCCTCATAAGATTTAGGCATATACTAAAGACAGTCAACTAATCATTTTGTTACTATAAATTATCTTGGTGTTCTTCTGCATATTTAGTACCAACGACGTGGGTGCGTGACAATTAAGGCAATTAGATCTGACAATTACTCTCTCTATACAGTGCTTCCCTCTGTATTAGAGATACAGATGGAAAATTAACAGATTGGGTTGTGCTTGTCCATTGATGTGCATTCTGAGTCACTCAAAACCATTGTACAGTCAGGTAAAGAAAAAATCAAATTTATCCATTAATGTACAGCTGTACAGCTTTCAAAATTGAAACACTTCAAACACCTATTTGAAAATTACCTGTCCCAGGTTGCGTTCTCATTTTGGTAGTGGAATTCCCTGTAAAAGGTGACAAGCGGTTGGAAAGGAACTTAAATTTCTGTAAGGGACAGCGTTGGGAACAGCTTAAAACTTTGTTTGGATCTTCCCAACTGTATATATTATACATAGAGCTATGTTTGTTTTCTTCCTTTGTGTATTAAATTATGTTTTGTTGTTAAACAAAAAAATCTGTAGCCTTATGTGACTATGTTTCAGTGAATAACCACCATGTTAAATAACTGCAAATATTCAACATAAGTTCTAACAAGCCAAGTTTCATTTTTGAATCTGACTTGCCAGTTATGATCAAAACACTGTTAAACAGAAATAAGTACTGGAGAAGGAGAAACATCTAGGTTTATGTGGGAATAGCAGGAGAGTTAGAATAATTGAGTGGCTTTTTCAAAAATATCTGTAGAGGCTCAATGAACTGAACAGTCTTCTTTGCTCCTGTCTGTATTGATTTTAAAACACACCAAGTGTTTTCTGCGGTTCTGAGCAGTAAAACTTCACAAGTTACTTCAATTATTAACGAGCCAGATTTTTCTGGGTAGCAGGTAGCAATCAGAGTCTGATTGCTATTCCCCTCCTTTGTTCTTACCACAATAAGAGCTCTGCATTTACAGCATATTTACAACACTGTACCTGTTGTCTTCTGTGTAGATAATGTCTCATTAATAGTCGTGATGCTCTCTGTAAGGGAAGATGATGATTCTGAAATCAGATGATGAACAGCCAAG